AGATCAGGATTACTTTTATCTCCACAGCTAGAATAACAGAATCTTGCAAGTCTGAACGTGCTTCCCCATTCCCTCACTTTATCTTCCTGTGAACTAGAGGGGGCTTGTCTGAGACATTTACTTAAACTAGTTTCTTATCTGATCGCTGCCTTGGTAGTGGCTCTTCCTCCTGTCCTTCAAGGCCATTCCCTAAGTCCTCTACACATGAAGAGGTGTTCTGAGGATCCCAACCAAGGGCCAGCATGATGCTTCAAAGATGCTCACAAGCACTCACCCTGCCCCACGTTTACCCCCACACACACACACAAAAAACCCTAGCATTGACTATGGTGGTACCTCCAAACCTGGCAATCCTATTCAGCTATATTCATAGTCATTTTTATTTATAATCCAATATTGGCCCAACCAAGGTTCCCTCTACAGTACACTAAAACAGAAAGAATACTGCAACCAATTCAAAACAAACCAAATAAACAACAAAACCACCATTTAAGTTTCCAAGAGCAGAAACAACAGCATAATAAACATTGTTAAAAACGGAACAGAACAAAAAAACCATTGCCACCTATCCCAAAGTGAAAGAAGGAAGCAGTTTCATCACCTAGGTGGAATTTTCACCAGCCTGGTGCTGCAATAAAGAAGTTTCCACAACACGATCTGCTTTGGTGGAGGGACATATGCTATGAAATTCAGGCAGGATGGCACATATTCAATCAATCAATAGCAAAACATTTAGGGCAGCCTTCCTAATTAGTTACCCTTGAGATATTTTGGACTGAAAATCCAATTAGCCCTAGCCAGCGTACTTATTATTCAGAAATGCTAAGAACTGTAGTACACGACACCTGAAGAATTCTAGGTTTGGTGAAACTAGTTTAGGGCTTGAAAGAGAAGAATGTGTATGTGTGTGTAGGTGTTGTTTTAAAAAAATATCACCTGTCTTCCATGAACTCAGGTATACTTAACACTCCCTCCTCTCATTCTGTCTCACAACAATCCTGTGAGGTAGGTTGGCTGAGAGATCCTGACTGGCACAAATTCACCCAGCATGCTTCTATATCTTAGCGGGGACTTCAACCTTGGTCTCCCTAGTTTTAATCCTTATTGTAATACCATTCTGGGCTAGGAAACAAACTGGAAGCCAATGCATTTGATGTAAGACCAGTGTAACATGCCTAAAAGGCAAAGGATTTCAGATACAATCCTTTAATTTTAGGGAGCCCTGAGAAAGATGCTTGGTTGAAGCCTGAGATATACTGTTATTCAGCCTAAATGGTATGATTGGTAGGGCAATGTCTCAGGATAAGGCTGCTTCTAATGTCTGAGTTCTAGCATTATTAGAGGGAGGGAAATTATCCATCATGGACGGTAGGGGAAAGAGAGGGAAAAATATGAACTCTCTCCCAAAATGCAGGCAAACCATCTCCGTGGAAAAAGGTTGCTTGAACTGCAGCCATACTGTGTCTCGTATCAGAGTAATCAGAGTTAAAAGAGAAGACGAAGAAAAAAGCTGCTGTGATTTGTATTAATTGTTAAGTCCCTTCTCCTCTGAACATTAACAGATACTAACAAACACTGCCCAAGTTATCAAAAATGGTCCCTCCCACTTTCACAGGGAATAAATACTTCTGTGAACGTGGGGAGGCTGAGTGAAGAAGCAGTATTTGGCCACAGGGTAATCTTTTGATATCCCAATTTTTTATTTGCTATATTTTTATTTTATTCACAGAAATGCAGAAATCCATAGAACTGGAGAGAACCGCTTAGAACAGTGTTTTTCAAACTTGGTAACTTTAAGAATGTGTGGACTTCAACTCCTGAATTCCCCAGGCACGCATCTTAAAGTTGCCAAGTTTGAAAAACACGGGCTTAGAAGAAAAAAACATCTACGTAAATGGCTTAAAATCACCACAAGTCAATGTACTGTAATGCTTAAGGTGCTGGACAAGAACTGGGGAGACCCTGGTTGAAGTCCACCCTTAATCACAGTAGTCCACTGGGTGATGATGCCTCCCTCCTCTCTCAGTCCAACCTACCTCACAAAGGCGTTGAAGAGAACAGACTGAAGGAGTGGGTGTAATGTACACCATCTCAACTCCTGGAGGAAAGGCAGGAAGTAATTCCACCAAACAGAAAAATGTAGTCATTTTCCCCAAGAAATTATTTTAAAAAATTATATTTGTAAACAGTTCTTAAGGTGTTTGTGAGTCAGACGCTGTATTAAAAGAGACCTAATTTAATTACAATTACCTGAAGACTAATGATATCTGCATCCCAGTTCACAATTTCTTCCATGATTCCCTTTTTTCTGTATTCCCAGTTTAAAGCCCAGGAAGGACAGTAGCCATAGAGCTGTCGGGTAGCGTATTTATCACACAATACATTGTAGCACATGACAGTAAATGAAGCTGGAGAAAAGAAAGCAAATGATGAGAACAATGATGAACAATGATGTGTCAAGCATTTTTTGACAGAAGGACCACCCTATTCAGCACCACAGATATCAGCACAGTGACTAAGAGCTGCCAATTTTCAAAGAAAGCAAGAGTATAAAGTTCTTTAAAATAAAACACATTTCACATGCCTAAATGGTAGCTTACTGCCAATGAACAATACTCAATGTGCTTGTTCACCTCTATTTTATTAGATGGTTAACTGTTTCCATATGCTAAACTATCTGTATATGTAAAAAACAATTTACATACCCCCACTGCATGTGCCTGGAAAAATCTGCCAACCTGATTTCAGAAATTTTCTAGAACTACTTCTAAGATTACTGAACATAAATTTCAGAAGCTATTATAAAAGACAGCCAGTTATGTTGACCTGTAAACAAGTTTAAAAATAGTGAATCTTGGTTTTTTGTTTTGGATTGCAGTGCTTTCTAGGAAATTTATTAAATGCTGTACTAGGAACCACAGGTTGCATGCTAAATGCATTATGGGCTGGGGCCAACAGACAATCTCTGACTTCTTAACCCGCAGTGATCATGCACTCTTCCAGCAGTCTGGCTGCACATCAGGTCATCTGGGTTAACCTTGGTTTAATGAATAAGCCCTAAGTGGCTGGACCGCCCAATGTACCACTCTAAAATCAAGCAAATTACATTATGGCTCAGTGCAACGCAAAACCAGAGAGAGAAATTGAAGCTGATGCATATAACCTTCCAAGTTATACCATACAGGCAGTCCTCACTTAACGACCCTAATTGGGAATGGAATTTCCATTGCTAAGTGATGTGCTCACTTATCAACGTCAGTTTCAGTAGTCCCAGTTGCCATTGTTAGGTCAGGGCCACACCGCGCTGTCATTAGAGGCTTCTCCTGCCCTGCTGCACTTGCCTCCGCTTCAACTCCCCCCACCTGTCTATCTCCCCACCATCTCTGCACTGGCTGTCCTGTGCTCTGCTGCTCTGTTTCCTGCACTCCAGCCCATGACCAGCAGCTGCCTTGCAAAGGGCTAGGCTGGGCATGCTTCATCAGCAGTGGGAGGAAGAAAAAGGCAACGGTCAGCTGGGGGCAGCAGGGTGCAGGGCGGCAGAAAGCAGAGTGACCAAAAGGGCGGAGATGGGGGGGAGACAGGCGAGTGGGGGAAGTTGAAGTGCACCCTGCAGTCATAAATGCGGGTGGACTGCCAAGCCCCCAAATTTTGTTCATGTGACTCTGGGGGCACTGCAAAGGCTGTAACTTCAAGGACCGGGCGTAAGTACCATTTTTTCAGCTCCGTTGTAACTTCAAATGGTGGCTGAACAAATGGTTGTTCAACAAGAACTACCTGTACTTGCTATGGATGAAGCTTCTTTTCTTCTCTTTAGATTCTTGTGCTGCTGCAGCACAAACTCAAGATGTATTGTTTGGGTCTCTTGGAGTCCCATCAATCTTGAGCTCTCCCAGACTGCTGCTATTGTCCTCTAGATCCTATTTCTGAGCTTAGCTTTTGATATAAAGCTTAAAACAGAGCATGGCCTAAAAATGTTCTTGTTTCCACTCTTTGATCCTTATTCCAGATGTTCAAGGTCCCTTCTACAATCTAGGATATTTTTTTAAAAAATGGTAAGAGCTCTGCTGCAAGCTAACAATGCATTGAGTTAGCTGGATCACAGAACATACTCCTTGCCAGTTAAAGATGGCTGAATTATTACCTGAGGGCAGAATTTGGTCTCGCTCTTTTAATGTAAGCCATGGCCTTGGAGGCAGCTGCTCTGGATGAACTGAAATAATAATACAGATTGAATGTTAATGACGGTTAGTCCCTGGAAGTACTGGCATTTAGTGCCATAATCATGCATTATATAAATATGGTACCAACATGGCACCAAGTAGTCAGTTCTTCTTAGCAAGGGCATCCAGGATACAGTATACTGTGTTCAGAGAACACATACATCCTTTTAGGAGGACTTGGAATATAAAATTCTCCCCCTAGCAAAGCCTACACATCATAAGTAGGACAGATTGCTAGTATCAACATAAAAGAAAACATTTGCTACCTGCTAGATTGTCAAGCATGTAGTTCAACAATTTACGCGTCCCATCTGGGTCCTGGTACAGGCTGAGAATATCTTGTGATAAAGGGTTGCCTGGAATCAAAGCAAGCTTTTTAAAAGAAATGGCCTACACAATACTTTTAATTTGAGTGAATTAACATTCATTGTAACAAATATTTATCCTTAATTCTTTATTTATCTTGTTTGTAACCTGCCTTTCAGTTCTAGAACAAACCAGAAGAGCTGATAACATTTTCATTCCAAAGGAAAACACTCCATAAAAACACCAGTGAACCAACAGGAAAGTAGGAGTTATTGTGAAATCCATTTTGTACACAATCAGAAGACAGAGTAGGAAAATATTTTGCCATCATCCCATCAAATGAAGAGGCTTATTTCATACTCTATTTATCTGGCTTTGCCTTCCAAAACAGAGCCTCTCTGCTTTTTTATCCTTCATACGATTTATTTTTTTAATGCTTGGTCAAAGTATTTGGAACCCTTTTTTTTTTTTTTTGGAATTCATTGGGCTGGAACTAAAACAACTTGGGCAGAAATCATCTTTACTAGATTAATGAAAACTACAGATTTCAATGCTCTCTTATCTTTATCTACAACTGGAGTCTTCAAAGTATTACTCAAAGGCACTTATGTCCATACAGACATTCCTCTTGCTTTGGATTCTTTTTAAAACTGAAAAAGCAGGTCAGACAGTTTATTAGTACAATAAAATATGTAACTAAGAAACAAAAGCAGATGACACTGTGCTTTTGCCCTGCTTGTGGACTTCAAAGAGGCATTTAGTTTGTCAACAGGACTCACTCTTTTAAGGAAAATCTACTGGCTGATCTTGCTTGTGACAGGAGAACAATTTTAACCTTCCTTGTCTGCTCTGATACCTTACAACTGAGACTAATCTAAATGTTTCTCAAGTTAAGCCTGATTCCTGATATGGACATAGGTGTGCTGGGTTCTTGACAACAATATGGGTTTGTAGTGCTGGTGCAAAAATTCTATGCACAGAACAGCTGTTTTCAGGTGATCTGTTCTCAAACGGAAACATCCTTTTCTTAAGTTTTCCTCTGTACATGGAACAAATGGGGCTGTTTTGTTCTAGATGCAGGCCAAATGCAGTTGTTCCAGGCAGAAGAGAGAGGAGGAAAAATGGGAAAAGGGCAAGGACATTGGTTGCAACTCAGGAAGGAGGGAAAAGATTGGAGGACAGATGGACTGGTGGAATTGTTCACAACAAGCACTTGTTCCTTACTGTTGAACCAGCGCTTTGGAACAGGCTACAGGCCAATGTATCAACAGCTAAGCAGACGGAGGGAAAGGAAGATGACAGGAAGACTGGGGATGGGGAAGCAGGTTGGTGAGATATTCCACATTGGCAGCTACTGAGGATGGGAGAGGGGATGACATCATCAGCTTTGCCCTACTTGCCTGGTAAAAATCACTTGGGGACCCTACATGATATGACACAATAGAAGTTGTCAGAAACAGAATAGTTCTGTTTTCATCTATTCTATTTGATTGGACTATAAACTGCCTTGAGGCATTATATAAAATTTGTATTAATAAATATGTATCCAAAAATTATTGTCATGATAGCTCAGTTCAATGCCACCTACAAGTTTCTGTCATCCTGCAAGACAATGAAATTAAAACAATTCTTATGCTTGAAAATTTCATTAACCATAGTATAAGATAATGCTAAGAATTAAAATTTAAAAAAACCACACTCTTATAATTGCCTGTCATTCAGAACCCCAAATCTCTGATCATATGGGAATCTGGCAACAGATGTTAGTTAGCAAAATAAAGAGAATATTTCTGATATATTTTTAAACAGTTTTCTCTAGGAAATATCTCTAAGTGAAATCACTGAAAGGGAAGCAATAATCAGCATCAGTGTGTGACCTAAAAACTAACTGGGATTCAGAAGTAAACCACATCAAGATAAAGGGCACAAACAACAAGAAGACACCTCAAGACTGATATAAAGTTTATTAATTGATTGACTAAAACAAGCTTCTCCAACTTGATGTGTTGGACTTCAACTGCCATAATCCCCCTGGCTTTGGCCAGGCAGGATGAGAGATGATGGAAATTAGAACTCTATCTGGAAGACATCACATTGGGAAAGACTGAAATAAAGAGTTAGGCTAAGAATATATTTTGTCCACAAGGTTGACTCTTACTGCCACAGCAAGATGTTAACACAGGGGGAAAAAAAGTCAGACAAAAAGGGAATCAGCGTGACCTAAGCACATGAAAACATGCTCCTTACCTTTCAAACCTAGTGTTTGTAGCTGGAAGAGCCGTCCAAGTTCATAAGGCAAAACTCGTAACAAATTGTTGTTTAAAAGCAATTCCCTAAAATCAGAAGAAATTATTTAATAAAGGCAGTTTAAAAAGAGTTTACACATTTACATTCATTTTGATACTTTTCTAAGTGGTGAGATGGAAAAGATGAAGAAAATATCAGAGCATCTGTGTTAGTATAGTACAATCACCCACCTTCACAACAACCATTTTTGAGGATAAAGGTATACAGTAAGTGCTGAACCTTAATGTGTACAAACAAAATAACAAATTCTATTTATGGTTTGCTATCACAATTGGTCAATCAAAAGCTGAAGGATGTCCACAATCTTGGTCAAGACTGTGGGCATCTGACCAACCGTTATTTCATATTGAAATAAAGGATCAGAGAAAGTAGGAGAAAACATTAAAGGAATTCCTGTCCACTTAAAAAAAAAAAAAATTGAAAAATAACTCTGGCTCTAGAACAGTAGAAAGCTTGTTTTCCAAGATCGTAATCATCTTGACTTTGAAGCCTGGAAGAAGAACTGTTTTTGAACAAGTATTTTTGCAGATAATAGTCTCATTCCAAAGTATGTAAAAATGCCAGAATGACACATTAGAAGAAAAACTATTATCCAAAAATGAGAGTCCCATGTTGAGTTCTCTACCACATGCAGTGACATTTATCCATAGCCTGGATCATCATACTCCTTCTATTTCCTCCCTCCCCAATGCTCTTCACCAACTTGTACCAAGGAGCATAAGTTTAAAAATATTACTATCCCACCAGAAATTATGTAAAAAGAAACTTAATAATTTCAAGTTCAAAAACTCTTGACATCAATAGCGCCCCCCCCCCCACCCAAACCCCGAAAAAACACTTTTCTGAAAATAATTGGGGGTAGGGCAAAACACCCTACCCCAGAGGGAGCCCCTTTTTCTCTTT